GAGAGAGAGAGAGAGGCCTTCAAGGGCATGGGTTTAGATTTGATCGTCTTGGAAAAGTCAATTGCATGCCTCATGAATTTTATTGACCAATGGAAAAGAGAAAAACATGCTTTAAATGTAAATCAAATTTGAGGATAGATAATCTCATAACACACACACACACACACACACACACCCGTCTTATGTAATACATGCAAGCTCAAGCCAAGTGTGGCTCAACTTGAGCTTAGCTCATCTGGATCGGTTCTGCTTGTCAGTCTAGCAATGGTGTTCAAGCTCGATTCACTACAATCTGAGCACCGAGCTTGATTGTGAGCTAGCTTGGATTGTTGCCAGGCTTAAGAACTAATCATGTGATGGTAATGAATAGGCTTCACCATTTCAATGGTAATCATGTGATGGTGCATGAATATGTTGGATGCGAATCTTGGCAACTTCTTTGGAAGTCGAGTTTGACCTTTCTCTTTGGGCCTTTTTGGGAGTCCAAATTCTCACTGGAAGGCCATTGATCTTTGGCAATTGTTGGCATGAAGAAAGGAGTCTCCATATTGGTTAATATAGAATGCATCTGGGGATGTCTGGTGAAACATAATTTTAAGGACAATGAGCTGGGTCTGCTCTTAAGGCCAGTGAGAGTGATTAATCCTGTGAATTTGGACTGTCAAACAGTTGTAAAGGAATGGACTAATGGAAAAAGGCCCTTCGCAAAAAGAAAGGGTTTTTTTTTTTTGGTTGGGGGAAGGGAGGGGGGGGGGGGAGAACTGTAGAGGCAGAGTTGGACTATAAGGGACTTTGAAGGATATTTGAGGAGAGCTGGACCAGGTTGCACTTGGCAATAGACACAAGGTTATAGTTTGATAAAGGACCTGAGTTAGAACACTTTTCTGGTTGGCTTTGACCAGATGCTTATTTTGGTAATTTGTGGCAGCAGTATCCATGGTCTCTTGTGCGGTCTAGGCTCTGATGATTATCATAATTGAGGCATCATGGTCTATTGGGTAAGGACTTGCTTAACTCTCAGAATCTTTCCTCAAGGGTGGTGCTGTATCATTGGAATCTTCCCTCTCCAAATTCATGAAGTAATTGGGAAATGTACTTTCTTTGAATGATTTTGCTCCCTAGAGCTCATCATAATGGAGATGTTTACATACCTAGGTCTGTGATAAGGTAGCTGAAGGTGGGCATATGTATATTTCTTCGGAGCATTGTATTTGGAGACTGTTCCTGGTGCTTTAGTTCTCAACTTGAGGTGTTACATTATTTTGGGTCTCATTTTCTTGGACTAATGGTTGTATCTAAAACTTGGAGTTTATGATTTTCTCATCCGTACCATATCATATAATTTTGAGACTCCGGTTTTTTTAATTTTTTCATCCAAAATGTGGTTCCATTTATGAATTTGATTTCTTTTTCTATATTTCTTTGTAGGGGTCCGTCATACGGTTTTCGGGGTAAAGTTATCTTGGATTTTGAAGAGAATATTCAGTCCAAAATTGGTGTTCGGTTCGATAAGCCTATACCGGAGGGTATTGACCTTGGGGGCCTGTGTGAAGAAGATCATGGGTTCTTTTGCAATGGTGATGTTCCAGTTCTAGATAGCATCTTTTTTGTAGTTGATGGACTTCCTTTTCCCATTTTTCTTCCTCAAATCCTGTTACTTAATAGATACTTCTGTTTTCTATTTTGTAGCTAGTGATCTTCGTTTAGAAGGTCCTGGTGGGGAGGATCTAGATAAGCTAGTCATCAACGCCTTATTTGAGGTTGTTATTTTGCACTTGTTTGAATTGAGAACCACAACTTTGTATTCTCTTGATCATTTTGGTATATTAATGCAGTCTAATGGTGTATCTGTTTCCTAGGTTGTTTCAACTGAAAGTAAGACTGCCCCTTTGATATTATTTATGAAAGATGTTGAGAAGTCTATTATAGGCAATACAGATTCCTATCCAACCTTCAAAAACAAGCTCGAAAAATTGCCTGACGGTGTTATTGTGATTGGCTCGCACACTCAGATTGACAACCGCAAGGAAAAGGTAACCCTTTTTTTTGGTGCTTGCCTTCATTTGATTCTTAATCATTATTAGATGTAGATTGCAATCATATTGCTGGTTATAGTTTTAATTGATCTTTCTTTTTCATTTCATCTCTAATTGAGAAGGGTTGGTAATCTATGCAGTCTCATCCTGGAGGTCTACTTTTCACCAAATTTGGGAGCAACCAGACAGCTCTGCTTGACTTTGCGTTTCCGGTAAAAAATATCAGTCTTGTTCTTTGGTTGTCTTTTTTTTTTATTTTTTTTCTTTTTTGTGTTCAGAATTTTGGAGGGCTTGTCTTTTGGATTAAACATCATCTTGTCATTGCTTTGTTATGTAGTATAACTGTTTTCCTGATAATGTTTTGAGTTTTTCCCCCCCTTGTTTGGAATGCATAAGTACTTTTAAGCAATTTTGAATGAACTAGCCGTAAACAAGAGTAAATTTGCTTTGAAGGTTATGTCATTTCAACACTTCATTACCTAAGGAAGTTTCTGTGGCTATTCTCTGCTAGTCCCTATTTAGTGACTATTGCACATTTCTATAAACAACTAACGCTGCATATTGGATGCCTGATTTGTTATTGTTTATCCACGGCAACCGTTTTAGAAATACAAATGGGATCTATAAGTGGTTTGCCGGCTGTGGGAGCTTATAAACATCAGAAGAAATACAAATAATTGCCTTTACCACTGGCATAAATCTTGTAGGTGCTTAAGAATCTTGGAATCTTAAAACAGTGGCTGAACCGGTTAAACTTTTTCTAAAGGAAAATTGTTTCATGAGGGCTGGACCACATTTCTACATATGCGGTCCGGAAAGTGTAAAGCATCCATGTTAATGATGGATGCAAGTAGGTGTTCCATCTAAAAACAATGGAAACTAACGGCCCAAATGTTTTCTTACTAGAGTTATTATTTTTAGTTTTTAAAATTTATTTATTTATTTTTTGGCGGGAGCAACTATGAAAAGTTCTCAAAAAAGAAAAAAATTTATTTTTTCATTTTCATGATCTCCATAGAGATTACATGTCCTTAAAAATTAAGTCTTAAAATTCTTCACAAAACTAGATTTATTAAGAAGCCCACATTTCTACATATGCGGGCTTGGTCGCATAGAAACCGGGTCCTTTTCTAAATGACTATGTATGTCCAATCTGGTTTATTAAGCACCATAAATGGTTTTCATGGACCATGACAAAATAATTATTTAAAAGTTGATCAAATCAGGCACTCCTTTGAAGTTCTAGGTTTGTGTAAACATGCACTACCAATGGGGGTGTTCTTGGCACTGTTTTGATATTCCTCTAGTCCTACAAACAGGAAAAACTTATCCTAGGTGTTCCATATGTCTATATTTTGATTTCTTTTCTATTATGAAGTGTGATTAGGTGAATGGAACATCCCCCAGTTTACCTGCCAAAAAGAAAAAACTAGGGAGCTTGGTAATTACAGGCATGACATAAGTTGCTTCCGACACCTGCAGGATAATTTCGGAAGGCTGCATGAGAGAGGCAAAGAAATACCCAAGTCAATGAAGCTGTTGTCTAAGCTGTTCCCTAATAGGGTTACCATCCAGCTGCCACAGGTGCTAACATGCAGGAAATGGTTTTAGAATATGACATTTTACCATCTTAATAGAATATCTAACAGGATGGCTCAAAATGTTTTGCAGGAAGAAACTCTTCTTGTTGATTGGAAACACCAATTAGATCGAGATGTTGAAACCCTGAAAGCGAAGGGAAATCTTGTTCACATGCGTACAGTAAGTAAACAAAACATTAACATCTAGGAGATGTGCATATCTTTGGTTGTTTATAAATCTCTTGAATTGATTCAGCTTTTTTTTATGTCAGCTAGAATTCAGATTCAGCATCTTCTTTGGTTGCATCTATTGCTTTTTTGTAAAATTTTGCCCTGTTTGTTCTGTAGACATTCCCTTTAGTAAGTTCTCAAACACTCTGAAATTTTATTTGTGATCTAAAAATAAGAGGAATGCCACCAGAATAGTTGTGCAAAATTTCTTTAATTTTATGCAGATCATGTATATAACTACGTGCTTTTAATAAAGTAGCTCTATTTTCAAAATTTACGTTCTCTAGTTGATATGGCCTTGCCATATGGGACTTCTTGAACCCACAACCTTGAGGTTGTGACCCCTAACATGTTGCTAGTTGGAAGATTTCAATTTGAATAGCATAGTTGTTCCTATGTATCCCTGTATGTTGATTAATTTTCTTTGTTTCTTAGCATTCGATATGTTTTGCACTTCTAATTTTTCCTACTATAAATTGCTTCATTTATATGTCACTTGTTTAGTTCATGGGAAGAAGAACTCCACTGAGACTCCCAAAGTTGATACTCAATTATTCTTATTGATGACGTCAACTAAAGGAGAGGGAGAACTTTCAAGTCCTGAAAAGTTCCCCTTGAATGCAATGTATTGTGCTCTCCTTTTTCATCCTCCGGACTGTTAAATGAGTTCCCTTCCTTCAAGTCCTGCAAAGTTCCCCTTGAATGCAATGTATTGTCCTCTCCTGTTTCATCCTCCTGATTGTTAAATGAGTTTCATTCCACAAAGACTGTTTTGGAAAATCCACCTCCATCTATGCAGCTCTATCTACATCTCAGTCTTGGGCTTGGGTCTCATTCATAGTTACTGGGATCAAGATCAAATTAGATCCAGATCTGGATATCGGGATCATGACAAGTAGGAGCTCCCTGTGGTGGGGATCATGGTCTGTGTAACCCGAATCTAGGGGTCTTGATCCCAATATGTGGGATAGCTTGACCAAACTTAATCAGAATCAAATGATAAATTATACAAGACTGATCTCCATTTAGTTAAAATAGAGGCCCCTGAGAGCACTTAACTTGTATAGGATTAAAGTATATGCTACTACACTATACCACACTGCTCCACAGTAATATAGTACTAAACTTGTATAGGATTAAAGTATGTACTACTACACTATACCACACTGCTACACAATGATATACTACATATACTACAATACTATACTGTATACGGAATTCTACTATAGTATGCAGTATTTTATGCTACATCATTATGGTTTACTCTTATTAGGATTGGAATTGCATTATTTGTACTCTTATTAGGGAATACTTATATGGAGAGTATTTTGTGGCAAAATGAACACCTAGCCAATATTATCGGGAATGTTAAAGCATGCCCACGGGCAAGCAATGAGATTGGAAGAGATATTAGGGCATACATGGATAGCCAAGGAACAAAGAGGCAGAAAATAAGAAAATGAGAAAAAGAGTTGATAAAAGAAATTCAAGTATTTGATGACTTGTCTGATTGAGAGATGAGAGTTTATTATCTTTCTCTTTTATAAGTCATATACTTTTGGTCTTTGCCACTTCAGAGTTTAAGCTTTAAAGTTTTGAATTTTAGATATTTTATATGAGATACATTGGGTCCACAACCTGCATTAAATATTGAGGCCCCTGAGAGCTCTCAAGTTGTATAGAATAAAGTATAAACTACTATACTATATGCCACATTGTTATAAAATAATATACTACTACACTATACTATACTATACTATACTATACTATATAATACTGTACTATAATATAACTATGCTATACTATACTATAATATACTATATGCTACTATATTTACGTTTACTATATACAGCCCTATAAGATGTACAGTAATGTATAGTATTTCTATCATATGCGGCTGCATAACACTTTATTGATGCATCAAAAATTGAAGAAAGCGAGAATATCTCAAAAGAGGTACAGTGCAAGAACCATCAATCGAGCATCACAGCTCTAAAACTCAAAAAGTTCCATTAGAATATCAATAAAATTTCACACCACCTCTCACAATGGACACGTAATAGTCTATTTATAAGCATATGAAACCCTAAATTTAACTTGAGATCCAAGTAAATAATTTAAAGACTCTAAAATATGCCAAAGCAATATTAAAAATTCTAGAAATACCCCCATGAATAGTAACATGTGAACAGTACTCATGAATAGTAAAGAAAAAGTAAAAAAAATTAAAAAATCACGTTATGGAGATGTCATCAGCAGGATTGCATCAATCCCCTTGTTTAGAAGAAGAACTCGCCCTCAAGTTCTTATGAGATCCCTTCTTTTTAAGATTGATGTTCTATGTACTTGGCAAACCCTTCGTACTTTTTACTTCACTTTTGATAGTTGGTGTAGTCCTACTATTTGCTTTGTCACTCCTTCATTGGATCTCCATGTAATAACATATTGCATATAGGGTTATAAAGTCCTTCACAAATAATAGGTGAAATTTATTCAAAAATTCCTTCTAGAATAGGGTCTTTGTGTTTGCTGCTGAGCTTAGAAATTTTAAAATATATAAAATCCTACTCAATAAAAAAAATAAGATTTCCATCATACACCTCTTTGATCGCATGTTCTTCATCTGGATCCTTATCATAATAGGCTCACCAATTATGTCAATAGGTGGAGATTCAATCTTGCAATCTGAAAAGGCACCTGCAAATGGATTCTCTTCTGAAGCGTCTGGTAAATATCCTTGAAGTGTTGAGCAGTTGGTGCGAATCTCATGCAGCTCATACTAACCCAACATGCCTTCAGGGTTTGCAGCTTGATGGATCACTAAATCTATCAGTTGATCCAACCTTTGAGTCAAACCCACTATCGATTGTGCAACTTGGGTCCCAAGGAACACATTTAGCTATCGCATCTCTAATCAGGCATTATCAATTCTTATTTGATACCACTTGATGTAGTGAGATTCGAAGAAAGCAAGAAAGTCTCAAAAGAGGGAGAGTGCAATAAGCATTAATTGAGCATCATAGCTCTAGAACTCAAGAGTTCCGTTAGCATTTTCAATAAAATTTCATACCTCCTCTCACAATGGACACATAATAGCCTAATTATAAGCATAAGAAACCCTAAAATTAACTTGAGGTCTGAGTAAACAATTCAAGACTCTAAAATATCCCTAAACAATATTAAAAATTCTAAAAATACATCTATAAACAGGAACCCATGAACTACACCTAGGAGCATGGTTTTAAAATGTGGCTGCATCGCCGTATATATGGCCACATAAAGTGTTATGCGCTGGGCAGGGCATCGCAATAGGCTGATATGCACTTTGTAGAACTGTGCCTGCGTATGCACCGCATCTCTTCGCAGATGCGGCTGCATCCCATGTAGACCACATAATCCTCATATGTGGCCAGTCAATTCCTTGAAAAAAAACCCTTCAGCAGGGGTATTTTTTATTTTTTGAGCTCTTAAAAAGGGAGGAAAGGGTTGGGGGGTTATTAAACCCCCCGAACAACTAGAAACAGTCACATCTGTGGCTTTTTTTCGATCAAATCAGTCAAAAAAAAAGTGGCGGAATTTTTTTTTGTGAATTAGGATTTGAAATTTAGATTTTTGAAAATCTCATGACTTGAGAGTTGAGAAATGATGATGATTTGTCTTGAGCTTGACTTTTGGACTCTTTAATCTTCATATACTTTTAGTTTGTATTTTGTAACTATAAAGTTTGTGGTAGCAAAGTGGTGATTATGGTTGTTGAATGTTTTATGAAGCTAGTTTCTAGTTTCTATCAAGGGATTGTGGTTAGATTAAATAATCTCCGACAGGCAACAACTGATACTTTTGGAGTTAATGAATAAATTAAATACCTAGTATTACATAAATCACCTCCATATTGCTTCCTATGCACTAACCTATTTTTTTTAGATTTTTTTATATTTATTGACTGCATCGCAGCGATGCACCCACATCTGAACTGCATGCCCCCCCCCCCAAATGCATCGGGCTGCATCTCGTAGAAAAAAAAAAAACACGGCTTAGGAATACTAACTCTTGAGTAGTGAGAAAATAAATAAAAATCACGTGCTAGAGTTGTCATCAACAGGACTACATCAAGTGGTATCAGAGCAAATAAGGAAATTAAATCTGGCCTTCTTTTGATCCCAAACAAGCAAATTTGACAACAATGGAGGGGCAAACAATGGCTGAGGATCAAGCCAAAGATGAAGCTCTAAGGGCCATATCCCTTCTTTAAATATAAACTAAAAAAATTAGCTTCTACATTCTCTTTCTCTCCCTCTCTCTCGCTCTATCTAATGCCATCTTCTACTCATGTGAACCCCCTCCTAAATCCCTTAAAAACATGGAAGCCCTGTCACTCCCACCAAAACAGGACTCCACCTTCAAATCACGACCAATCTTCCACCTTTCTTCCTAACTTCCTAAAGAATATTTTGAGTCTTGTAAAAATGAAAAACGATGAGTGACATGCATCTATAGCAGAGATTAGGTCTGGGGTTCGGATAAGCTATGATGATGATGACAGTTATGACGACGGGGAGGGATGTCAAGAGGAGAACAACAACAATCCATGATTAGGGGGAAGGGAAAGGGGTTGTTGTTGTTCTACCTCTTGACATCCCTCCCCGTCCTCATCACTGTCATCATCATCATAACTGACCCAAACGCTAGACGTAATCTCTTCTGTGGATGCATGTCTCTCATCTTTTTTCAATTTTACAAGACTCAGAAAATTGTTTATCTCATCGTTAACAACATTAGGAGCTTTTTTACAAAATCCCCCCTGATATTGGCAAGATGTTTCTTGAACCGGTTTATGCCCTCTTTTGTATTCTTTTCACAAAACTTGCATCTCATGCAATTTTTATCTTAAGAAATCAGGTTGTAGCCATATTTCCAACCCGGATCACCACTTCGATTAGATCCTGAAGAAAACATCTTACAATAATACAACTTATGCAAGCAATAAAAAAAATCACTAACTTTGATTGCTCGATCTCCAAACTTCCACATTTAAGATATTTCTAAGGACTCAAAGTCTTCTAAAACACCCTCTAACATATTTATAAAACATCCAAAATTAGATCTAATATCACTAGGTGATGCTTATATCAATTCTCGTAACTTAGAGAAATCCTTCAATCCTATGGAAATCACCAAAAACTAGTTTTTTGGGTTGTTTCTCTCTCTAAAATAGGCTCTAATGGGTTTTAGATTTCAAATGAACCTAAAACCCACAATTTTGCCCCTTTAATATTAAAAAAATAACCAAAACATCCCCTCAATGAGTGGCATTTCCACCCCTAGGTACCCGCCTAGGCCTGGGTGATGCGCCTAGGCCTTTTGGATCGTCAAGGCGGCCACCTAGGCATTGGGTGGTCCGCTTTTTAAATCACTGGATGTTGCCTTTTTATTGTCATCTACCATGATAGCTGGACGTCACAACCACCTCTGTTTAGCATGTGTGTTTCACCTGTTATATCAGACTCACAGTCTAACTTGTGAGTGGATTCTTTTCACATTAGCATTCATCTGGAGTGTGAAGTGCGTTTTCTTTTTGCCCATGCAATGAAATTGAAATCTTTGAAAACTTGCTACCCACCCTGATTGTTCTTGTTCTAACTCATTTACATTTTTCATATGCATAACCCCATTGCCTAATATTATTTACTATTATGTGTGGACTTGAAAGTTAGTAGCTTATGTTCTGAGATGAAGCCATAACTGGCCGATGTACGTAGTCTTTGAATCAGATCATAAAAACCATGTACTTATGCTTGGCCCAATGTATTCCCCAAAGGGCTCTTCGTAGGAAATTGGTACAAATGGGCCCATCGTGCTGTCCTGGTGTTTTCTTCACCTGTTTATTGAGATTTTCTTGTAAGCAAGGGAGGATGCAGGTTGAGTTTCTTCAACTCCTAATACCTTTGTCAACGCCATCCTTTGTCCTTGTAGAACAAAAACATTATTAAAAAAATTCATAAATGTGTTTGGGAAATTTTTGCATGTTTTTAGACTTTGTTTCCAATGTCTACACAATTTAAAGTCTAAGTGGCTAATGTACAACAGTACTCATTCATATGAGTACTCATTCATATGAGCACTGTTAGTATTATAAGTGCTAAATGACTGTTTCACCTATTCTATACCATCTTATTTTTAGTAAAATGGTATGTTGTCCGAAATGGTTTTTGACAGCTGGAATATTGCGGCTTGGTTTTTGAGATGTGGATATCCAGAGTAAAGATATCCAACTTCTAAAAAATTTAGATGTTTATGAAGGCCTATATTATAGGTGGCTTTAGCCCTTAGTTTATGAGTTTTTTTTTATCTTGGCATTCTTATAATTGCATATCTGGTCATGGTCCTTGAATGCAATAACTCCAAAGAACTGACCCAAAAAAAAAAAAGAACAGAGATAAAAAGAAAAGAAAAGAAGATATAGAGTTGCAACAAGATAAATGGTAATGGAAAAAAGGGAAATATGGCATAGTTAAGTTGCCACAGTGTGTTTTCATCACTGGAAGTGGTAGACAAAAAAAGTATTTGTAGACAAGGACAGTAGTGGATAAATTTATCATCATTTGCAGGTTATAATTCATTGTCTTTTGATCTCATACAGGTTTTAAATCGAAATGGCTTGGAGTGTACAGAGCTTGAAAATATTTGCATCAAGGATCAAGCACTTACTAATGAAAGTGAGTCGTATTTATATTTTTTAGATCTGCAATTTACATGGTTAACTGTTAAAGGATTTGGGCTTCTGTAATGGTTTCAACTGAGAGCAGCAACTGTATGTCTTATTCGAATGGATTTGAGCAAAATTGTTTTGGTAGAAACTATTTTCTGTTTAAAATAATTTCCATAACTTGCGCACGACTTCTATTTGGCTTGAAATTATAGAAAATAAAAAATCATATGTTTTCCTGTTTTGGTTGAATTTTTAGGAACCAATCGATCAAACTGGATTCAAATATGCTGGAATATCCATGTTAGATACATAAATTTAAATATAAATTCCTGAAATTTGCCTGCAGTTAAAATAAATGTAAAAACGGTTTATAGTTTGTATAGAGTAAATGATTGTGCATAATAGTTTTGTGTTAAAGGGGTATATTTTTTATTTTGCAGGTGCAGAGAAGATAGTTGGCTGGGCTCTAAGTTACCATCTCATGCAAAATGCGAATGTCGACATAACAGAGACGAAGCTCGCTTTGAGCGGTGATAGGTAGTCTAAAATGAACCATGTATCACCTCTCTTGATTTCTTTGATTTTTTAAAAATTCCTACATTCTGTATTGATGTTTATTTTGTCTCTATTATAGCATTCAATATGGGCTTGGAATACTCCAGAGTATCCAAAGTGAATCTAAGAGTTTGAAGAAGTCGCTGAAGGTGATTGAGTAAAATTCTTTGTATCTCCAGAATGTTATTTGTTGTAGTAATGTTCTGTATTCTTTTGTTTTAGGTCTGGTTTATTTTGTTGTATTCAATATCGTAGCTCATCACAAGTAGTTGTTCCTTGGCATATTGGAAACACTAGCTTTTATTTTCTCTGTTAACATGCTATTTTTTGGGGGTATATGACACTGAGCAATTTTAGGATGTTGTGACGGAGAATGAATTTGAGAAAAGACTTCTTGCTGATGTTATTCCACCAAGTGATATTGGAGTGACTTTTGATGATATCGGTGCTCTTGAAAACGTTAAAGACACCCTTAAGGAGTTGGTGATGCTTCCTCTACAAAGACCTGAATTGTTTTGCAAAGGGCAATTAACAAAGGTTGCTCACTCTCCCTTTTGATAGCTTGAAGTGTAGAGAGAATATAGTCTTTTCTTAAATCCCTATATGTTGATTATGTACTTTTAATTATGTTCTGAGTTTTTGTTTTTTATCTGATTAGTGTAGCAAACATCGGCAATGTTGATGCATATCGTCCTTGATGATTTAATTTTGTTAGGCTGGATCTTCTTCGTTCCGTCTTTATTCATGTTGTGTCTTGAACTTCCATATCATATTACAACTATTTTTCAGGTGGAATTCTATTTGTGGAAGTTAGTACTTGTTTTACACATTTCCACACAAGGTTGTGTGGGGGCTTTGAGCATGTTGTTTTTCATTATATGCATTCTCATTCCTAGTTCACTAAAGGAAACTAAATTGGTGCTTGAGAGCAGATTAATTGAGCTCACCGGGGAAGTAGGAGGTGATACTTTTAAATTTGACAATAATTAAAGAACGTAAATATGAGATAATATGGGGAAAACATGGATTAAGTACATGATAAAATCTTCTTTTACTTGGGCATATAACTTTCACAGTAACATAGACTGCATGTAATTGTTTAGAAGGTCTCGAATGTTCCCTCCTATTTCTCAAGGAACTCCTCCATTAGTTGTGGCAGCTGCTTTGATGTATTGATGCTACACAAGGAAATGGGATTGAATGACTTCAATATCCTCCTATTTCTCAAGGATCTCGTCCATTAATTGTGGCCAGCTGCTTTGAAGTATTGATGCTGGAAATGAGATTGAATGACTTCAATATCCTCCTATTTCTCATGGATCTCCTCCATTAGTTGTGGCAGCTGCTTTGACGTATTGATGCTACACAAGGAAATGGGATTGAATGACTTTAATATTTTATCCTTCAATGATGATATTGTCAATGGGAAAGACCATGCACCAGACTATCACCAAAAAAAACAAAAGAAAGCACCTACAACAAAATTCAAGTTGAGCAAATACTTCTCAATCTGAGTGGCACATTGTCTCCACACAGCCGGTTACTTACCAAGCAAAATCATTGCCCAAAGATCTAACCTCGCCCATAGGCTTCTTTTAAACCTCCATCTGCCCCACCCCCCCCCCCCCCTCCCCCCNCACACACACACACACACACACACAGACGACGACGACGTACGTACGTAGTACGTAGTAGTAGTAGTAGTAGTAGTAGTAGTAGTACGTAGTAGTAGTAGTAGTAGTAGTAGTAGTAGTAGTAGTAGTT